ATTCCTGAAGAGGTCACAGAAGTTCTCAAACAGCTCCAGCAGCTCATCGGACGTGTTCTCGAACACAGCAATAACTTCTGTGCTCACCATGTTGTACACGACGAAGAAGGAAGGCTGGGGAGAAAGGCAGAGGCGGCGGTTACCCCGGACCAGGAGAGCACAGCTGTGGGACCTGTCCCTTCCTTTGCCCTGCACGGCACTGCAGACCCTATCCACATGTCTCTGCAGCGCAGGAGAATCCCACATCCTGACAGTAATCCAGCCTGCTACTCAAATGCCTCGACAGGTACCAAATTACCCACCTCTTAACGGTGATTATTTATGACCAAAAATTTTAATGGGCTTCCAATTTTTCAGCTCAAACTGGATGTCAATATTTCTGTTTTCTCTTCGTCTCTGCCTTCCACCGAATCCAAAACGCTTTCCAAAGTGCCAAATTTAATTTTCAGCCCTGCTGACAAAATGATTTTAAATAATTTAAATCATATTTTAAAAAGTACCAGCTGGCCACAAATTGTTTTTTTCCTTTGTGTAGACACATTATTTTCTTCCCCTTCTTAATATTTCCATCACACAGCGATGAGCCTTTTTAGCGTACTGTGCACTACACCACTGCCCACAAAAAGTTCTGCCCTCCAGGTACCCTAGCAGCACAGAAATGAAAATGTGAAAGACATTAATGACTTCTTTTTAATGTCAACATTCTCATGCAAGAAGGCCCAGGTACCATGCTGTGGACTGGCAATGGCAGCGTTTCATGGCATGAACGAGCAAGAAATCAGGAAAAAGGTGACATTGTGTCAACACAGCTCCATCAAAAGGAGATGACATTCCCATCCCAGTGGGAAAGGGCAGATTGAATCCTTGGTCATCACAGGTAGCTTTTGTTAGAGAAAGGAGTGCCAACACCCCAGCACCCTCAGCTGCTTCAAAGGTAACTAATTCCCGTGGTATATGGGAATATATCAGGTTAAATTTTCTGTCAATAAAGGCAATTTCCAACTGCTGCACCTCCTGCTCCCAAACAACGCTGAGGGATGACGGCAGGCACTCTGCCCACCCCACCCACCTGCAAAGATCACAACGTTTGTTTGCTTTACAGTCTCAAAATAAACTGTGATAACACAATCCAGCCCCCACATGTCAAAAGGAAGCGCACTAGATGAGGTTACTCACTAGACTGCTGCCTGAGGAAAGGGAAGCCCTTCTGAAATACAGGGTTGGAGCAGAGAAGAAATAAGAGGAGGCAGCAGCAGGAAAAAAACTATTTACATCATTGAAGATTGCAAGGGGTATCCTCCAACCTGAAATTAAAAAGTTCCTTTGCCAGGTTAACACATAGACACATCTACAGGATGCCCTTGACCAGACAAACTACCCTCACTTGCTTTTTAGCAGCACCTGTGACACAGGCAAAACACCGTCACAGCACGAGTGGCCGAAGCCAAGTGTCACCAAAAGCATGCAGCAAAGCTGGCCAGAACAACCAAAAACCCAAAGCTGCACACACAGCATGAGATGAAAAACCTTGAAGGATTCATTCAGTACAGACCCTGACAAAACATAAGCAACCCACGAGAATGAACAGTGACTTCCTCAACCTTCTCGGCAGAGAAGCCACAGAGAAGAGAGAAGCTTGAAATGGGATGAAACCTCATGTTCCTCTGATAGACAAAAGAAAAGCTGGAGCTTTAGGTATTTTGTGAGCCCAGTTTTATTCAGGAAGCCCTAACACAAAGTCTAATCTAAGGCAGGTGTCTGGAATCACAGAATCACAGAATGTTGGGGATTGGAAGGGACCTCGAAAGATCATCCAGTCCAGTCCCCCTGTTGGCGCAGGAACCTAAATGAGATCACACAGGAAGGTGTCCAGGCAGGTTTTGAATGTCTCCAGAGAAGGAGACTCCACACCCTCCCTGGGCAGCCTGTCCCAGGGCTCTGTCACCCTCACTGTAAAGAAGTTTCTTCTCCAGTTTAAGCGGAACCTCCTGTGTTCCAGCTCACACCCATTGCCCCTTGTCCTACCATTGGGCATCACTGAGAAGAGCCTGGCTCCATCCTCCTGACATTCGCCCTTAACATATTTATAACTGTTAATTAGGTCATCCCTCAGTTTCCTCCAAGCTAAAGAGACCCAGCTCCCTCAGCCTTTCCTCATAAGGGAGACCACTCCACATCTGGAATTATCTCCTGAAAGAACTGAGAAATGAGATGTTTTTTTCTCCAGCAGAAAACTCAGCACCTGAGGAACACCACAAACAAACCACAACCTGCATCTTAAAGTAACCCTGGGGTGAAGCAAGTCAAGAGCACGCTGCAGCAAGCCAGGCTCAAAGCCTTGGTAACCACAGCAGAGTGGAGCTGAGCCTACCATAAACATCTACATCAGGGTCAGGAGCACCACTCCAGATACAAGCAACGAGCAGAATGCTGCAGGCCACTTCCAAAAAGCTTCAGTGTTTTTGAGACAGACACTTGATTTTATATGAATGGGTAAAACTGACTAGATTAAACCTCACCTATTCCCTCCCAAACCAACTCCCCCAAACAAACACCAAAAAAAAAGAGAAAAATAAAACAAACCAGAGTCAACTTCCAGAAAAATTAGACTAAGGCAACACACAAAGAACTACTGGCCATTTCTTCTAGGATCTAAGTCCTGGATCTGGCAAAGATATGGAAGAAGAGAAGTGTACAAAGGAAAAACATCCATCTAGGGAACGATCAAACCTACCTGCAGCACTGGAGATCTATTACAAATTCTTGCTCAATATTTTCAACAGAATAAAACCCAGAAAATAGAAGAGGTTAAAACCAGATCCTTCTCAGTTTCACAGAGCACAAAACCTGAGCACCACTGTTAACAAGAGTGAAAAGAGATGATCAACCTGCAGGGTGGTGGTGAAATGTCTGGAGGGACCCAGCACTGACTGAGGTACATTCACTCTAATTTGACTTCTCTAGTACTGAACTGAAAGGAGAAGCAATTGGCACATTAGCTCCATCTAAGAGCTGCTACTCCAGTTTGGAGAGATCATAAACACCGCCTCTGACAGAAGCCTGAAAGAGTGAGTATGTAGGCAGAATAGAGAAGGTGATTCTACTGGGGAAAAATGATGACTATTATATTTGAAAAACATGCTTGAAGATATATGAGAAAAGGGCTTGACTACCTCTGCAACAGAAGTGTCCTGTATGAAATACCAGCTCAAAATAAATCAGCTGGGGATTTGGGAGGGGAAGAGGGTTGTAGAGCATCTATGAGTACAGGGAACAATCCCTGGAGAATGAGGACTTGACAACCACGTCAGATCCTTCCTCTCTCATTATTAGTTGAGAAGGAAGCGATGAAATTACAAGAGCAAAAGATACAAAAGTTATTCAATATCAGAGGCATCAAATGTCCTCACAGGGATGAAGTACCGGGGATCCTAAACACCACTCACAGGCTCCCAGCCAAGAAGCGCAGCTCAGAGCACTGTACCTGCTCCTGGAGCACTCGCCCCAAAGCACTGAGCTGCCTGAGGAAGCAGAGGGTACCTGGGACGGGTCTGTCACCCGCAGCGTGACCACGTCCTCGCTGGTGTATTTGATAAACAGATGGTTTTCATCCAACAGCTGCATCTTCCACATGCGGAGCTGCCTCAGCTGGTCAAAGTACTGGAAGAACCTTCTTTTGGCTATAGCGCTTCCATCCTGCTCGGCCCTTCTCCAGAGATACACCAGCAGCCTGTGCTTCAGAGAGTTGATGAAGGGCTCTTTGTAGGGGTTGGCCATCCCCGTCTGAGTGTCCCGCTGCACCTCGGGATACACAGCAGACAGGGTCAGGAGATCGTCCTCGTAGCAGAAGCGGCCGATAGTCCGCACGTCGATGAACGTGCCCTCGGGTGTCACCTGAAAGACGTGAATAGTCTGTTGCTGCACCGAGAGGATGGCCAAGATGTTCTTATAGAGGTACAACCCCTGGTTGTGAGACAAGATGACTTTGTCACATTTAAAAGTCCGTGTGTCACAGAGTCTGCCCGTGTGGAGGTCTATGATATGCAAGGAATAATCCTCCAAGGGGGAGCGGGGATTGGGAGTCACCGACTCGCTGTTGCGGTACACCTCAAAGAAGGGGGGGTGAGGCTCCTCGGGCAGGTAGGCAGCGGAGCCAACGATCACGTACCGGCAGTCGTCGGTGAACAAGCTGCACTCGCGGTTCAGGTGCTCCCCGTTAGAGGCCACGTTGGTGATATGGAGCAGGACAAAGAAGCGCTCAAAGAGCCGCCCCCGGATGTTGACAGATCTTTGGTCGTTGCCGTTGGCCAGGATCTCCCCCTCGTAGCCTTGCAGGAGGTCTTCTGCTGCCTGGCAGCCTTGATACTCGTAGATCTCCAGAGAGGTCTGGTCAGAGGAGAAGGCGATGAAGTAGCGGCCATCCGGGGAGAACTTGCGCAAGAAGCAAGGTGGCTTCTCCACGTTGACCACGGTGAAGTTGGGGAAGACGTTCTGGTGGAAGACGCGGACTTGGTGCCAGTGGGTGCCAGCTTTGCCCGAGCTGATCCGGCGGCGTTCCAGGCGGTGGATGACATTCTGGTTCTGGATGCGGCGGGGCCTGATGGTGGGGGCATCATGGTCCATGGTCAGGGCTCTACTTCATCTTCACCCTGCTGGGGAGAGAGCACATACACGTCCTGGGATCACACAGAGATCAGGGGGAGGATTCAAGGCACCGAGAGGCAGGGGAAAGCCCCACAGCACCGAGGGTCAGCTGAAAAGTGCAGACATGCCTTTGGAAGAGGGGGAGATGATACAGGAGGACACTAGGGTGAGACTGGTAGAGAGACCTCAGTGGGTGGCACCAGGGAACCCAAAGGGAACCCCAGTGCACCAGGGGG